GTTTTCCTTTATCACAATGCACTAAATGGACTGAGCCTTTTATAGCAAACAGCTTCTTTTTAATTAGTTGCTTGGGGGTTCATTAGGATCAGGTTGTGCTGTGCTTTCCTCTAGCCACCAAGCCAGCCCAAATCACTGCGCAAAGAAAGGCAACATCTATTTCGCCCGTGGCGTCAAGCCCCAGCTCCACTACAGGCACCACGAGCACGCCTGCAAGAGTCATAAGCAGCACTCCTGCCTATGAAGCAACTGGGAGCATGACCCAGGGAGTCACGGAGGGTCCCAGGACAAACAACTTTGCCCGCCGCCACTATCCTAAAAGGTGAGTTCCAGCCGCTTTCCTTCATCACCGACTTCTGTACAATTAACTCTCCCCAAAATGACATCACTCCTCAGGCTCACATAATTATGTCTTGACATAGAAGCTGAGGAGTGGATCTGCATGTCAGAACTGGCACTAAAACCACCTCCTCCCTTGACTTTCCAGCCCTGTGACGCGCAAACGGAAAGATAACCCTTATATCCTGATAAGCATTATCCTGGTAATTCCAGTGCTAATGGCTTCTGTGTTAATGATGAGGAAACTACTACGATGGAAGAAAGGTAAGTAAAAAGCCACATCGAACAGACTGTGGGATAAAGAGTGCACGCCGCTGTGCGGTACTAAGAGCAGACAGGGTCGACTTTCTCTTCTCTCTCAAAACCTGTGGATTTCTGCTTTAGATACATTCACAGCATTCACTTTATCTCCCCCAACAGGCAAGGAATTTTATTTTTCACTGTCAACATGGTAGGCAGCCCTAGAAGCAGTATAGTCACCTGGACAAAATTCACAAATACCGGCAAAAATAGCTGCTTTTTTGGCTGTAATGGCATGCCCTTCCCCTCGGCATCTGAGCCTTTCCAGTAGTACTTTAAGTGATGTAGCTATCAAGTACAGCAAACCATTGCCGACTTTTCACCTGACCTCACCTCTGGAGAACAGCTGGACAGTCAATAAAACAATTTCCAATGAGGCATGAAACCTGGGCCCGGCCCTTCCATTCTGTGTCACGTTGGCATCTCAGGGACAGGTGGGCTGTATTTCAATGACCTTTAAAGAAGCAACTTGTAATCCATACAATAAAGGCTAATGAACAGAGTCTTTGCCCAGAAATGACGCTAGCAGCACCATTTTGTACTTTAGGGCTTGATCTGTAGAAGTGCTGAGTATGCGTGACTTCCATTAATGGGAGATGCACATGTTCGGTACTTCTGAAGTTTCAACCGTTAGCTTATTGCAGTATCCTGAATCATAAATGATCCACACATTTAGCTTTTGGACTGATTTGAAGGCAGTCAGTGTGCTGCCATTGCTATCTACATGTTTGCATCTTTCCAAGAAGCAGTTTCCAACGGGACCCGTGAAATAAGCCAGAGGCTGAGTGTGCTCGAACGTCTCCAAGGACAGGGTCCAGCAGAGAATATCTACAGTGCATGTCCCCGGCTGCCTCGACAGAACAGTAAGTTCCCCCACCACAGTTCAATACCTTGTTAGTTATTCCCCAACTCTGCTCTTTCTAATCTGTAGCAGGTGTTCACTAATGCTCAGTGGGTGGAAGGTGACTCGACTTCCAGGGACACCATAGATTCATAGATGTTAGATTCATAGATTCATAAATGTTAGGGTCGGAAGGGACCTCAATAAATCATCGAGTCCGACCAGTGCAAGGCTGGAATAGTTCCCTAAAATCTCTGAATTAACCTGGGCTTTCAGCAGGGACAGTGAAAGCAGAACTTCCCTCAATATCTAATATCACAAGAAGAAAAAAACACACGGCTTTGGCTGGTGTGCATATCTGCAAGTACTTGGCAGCTGGTTATGGAGCTGTCCTCAAATACCCTGGTAACCCCTCTCCTCTGGCTCATACAGCGCATGCCTCTTATGCTGCTAAAGCACTTGGCTGCAGTACAAGGTGCTCCTAAGCTCAGCCAGAGCCTGGTGGAACCTGTCTTGCTCCTTCCTCCCCTGCCTTTTGTTCACAAAAATTACCAAAGTGAAGTTGCACAACAGGACAAATTAAGCGTCGGTGCTGCGGAAGGGGAAAGAAAGTGGATGGGCTAATTATAGCAACGTGCCTCATTTGGCTGCCAGAACACCTGGGTAGGCCAGGAAAGGCTAGAAAGGCGTCAAGCTAGGGCTCCCCCGGGCTGCGGTAGTGGAGAGCACCGGCCACTGAGATACAGACTGAGCCTCTGCAAGAGACCCAAACTCAAATGGCCCGTAGGGGACAGACCTGGGAAATTAATGCTGGGGACTGACTACTCCAAACCAGGGGAGCGTATATACACTATATAGTTAACAATGCAGTTTACATCAGAGCAAGCGCCGACCCCTGCTCCCACCTGCATTCCCCAATCACTCTCAGGGCAAAGGCCTGTGAGAAGTCTTGCACCAGGCTCTGATGGTCAGCCAACTCAGGCGCTGTTGAATTGACAGACGGGATAAATGCCTAGGCCCGTTATTGAGGCAGAAATGACCACATAACCGCAGCTATTAGTCAAGCTGTTACGCAAGACATTTATAGATCCATTTTAAAACCTGGAAGCACACTGGAAGCCAGGGAAGTTGCTGCAGAGAAGGGGCAAGCTGCTTCAAACACCAGGAGAGAGCCAGATAGACTGGATAGATGGCACCAAAAATACTCCTGATGGACTAGAAGACAGCAAACTAGGTGAGACGGCCTTTTCCTGGTGGCCCAGCCAGAACAGCTTGTGCATTCAGGCTGATTTGGGGAATTACAGCCGACAAAAACACATTGAAACCTTTCAGCAGGCACAGTTTGATTCATGGTTGGCCTGGTCAGCATGTGGTACATCTAAAACATACATTATAGCTCATGTACTTGAGCTGAGAACAGCACTGCTGAAGTGTGGGACAGATACTCTAGGGCACATGGGCACGGCATTCTGGTTGAGGTCAGGAGCAGATGCCTAAATACCTGTGAGGACCTGGACATTTGGATCTGAGGAGCTAGGGAACCTGGTTATTCCCCAGCTGAGCTCAGGTCAGCATGACATTGCTTGTGACCCACCCACAACTGAAAGAAAACAAGATGGAAACGGTAGGAAGTGTATAAATAGATTAGGAGTCTATTTTAGGCGCGCTCTCTCTCCCTCTCCTGTCATTTCACTAGGAATTTGTCTGTCTCCAGTATAATTAGGCAAGCAGAGTCATTCATAATTACCTGAGCTATCAGCTGCAGACGGCTGATAATATCCAGATGAGTCCAACTTCTCATCATACCTGTTTCCTCCTCTGAAGCTTTCCCAAGCAGCTGTGCTGTTGTTTCTGCATTGCATCACCCACCGCTTCTTTTAGGTCATAGTGACATTTCATCTCATGGCTCAGAAGCTGCAGAGCCATTAAAACCCGTGTAATCTTTTCCATACACCAGAGGCGGGTAGGAGGATATGGCAGTCTGCTTGGACAGCAGCAGCTGTGCCAATCTGACCAGGGAGATATAGCCCCGAGCCGTGGGATTTGCTATCCATCGTGGGACACTGCATGGTGAACCAAACAGGAAGCTCCCAGAGATTAGGACCTATATTTAGTCCTTGCTTCAGTAGTGGAATCCTCTCCTGATTCCATTGAAGATGACTGGGGTGTAAATCTGTGACAATTTACACCTGAATCAACTTGCTATACCATTCAGTGGATTCGAAATACAGCCCATCCCATTAACTTTGCTCTTATGTTTTCAACCAAAGTACATGTATCAGGTCTTGAGTCAATCCAACTTTGATGTAACCCCACTTAAGTCACACTAGAGGTGTGCACATGTGCTCCAACAAGAGTGAAATATCAATAGCTTAAAAAAAATGACTTAATGTTATTCCTGGAGACCTATCTCTTCCTTAACCGCCATATTCACTGCTGCCCCTGCCCTGGTTCCAAATGGCAGCGGAAGTGGGAAAACTGAAATACTGCACATGTGAAAAGAAAGACAGTGGGTGCATCTACACATGCATTTACTCTGCATTAAATGTACTGTGCAGTAACTTAGTGCACAGAAAGCGGTTTTTAGGCCAGCGTCTACACGTGCAGCCGTTAAAGTGCAGTAACACTACGTGTGGACGGACTTGGGACTGAAGTTCATCCCAAGTCCATCCACACACACTGTATTATTCCGCAGCAAGGCTTCCCAGGAGAAGTTAGACAAGCAGGTACAACAATAGGAAGCAGCTTGTGTACTTGCAAGGTGTGCGACTTAAAGGACGGTTCATCTTGGTGTGACAGTGTTCTGGCTGTGAGGGCAATGAAGCTCTAGGAGGTTGTCGATCATAAACTAATAATGCAATAGTCATACTAATAAAATGAAGCCTAGCTCTTACAGAGATTTTTCAGCCACAGCTCTCATGGTTGTTTACAAATGATGTCTGCATGGCTGTCTCCTTTTTGTTTTACAAACTGGGGAATGCGACATGCAGTGATGTAACATGGTACCAGAGACATTAAGGATAATTGGTGACCTAGCCTTGGTACAGCATGTTCACTACAGTTGATTATCTAGAGATTTGTCCAGTCGAGTTTAAATAACCCTACTGATGGAGGCTTCAATTCCTTACGTTATTCTCTTGCCTAAGAAATCTGAAACTAGGGATGTTTTTCTGAAACTCAGCTTCAATTTAGCTTGTTCAGTTCAATCTTCTTGTTCCATACGCCACCGTGGACCACTCTAATTTGTTTTCTTTCCCCTCCTACAGTGAAAACCGAACCCTCTGGAAATCAATGGCAAAACTCTTATATACTTCAATCAGGGCTTTAACACTGAGATTTTTATACTCTTTGGTTATTTCAAGCAGTCGGGCTGATAGATTTTTTAGCTTACCATCTTTTCCAAACTTTTTTTTTAAGGCTATGCTATTCCTCCAATCCCAATATCATGTTTATTGTTTTTCTTTGAATTCCCCCTAAAGTGTCATTATTTTTTTTATACGAGGTATGTCAAACTAAATGCAATGTCCTAGTATTAATCACCTGGTCAGTACAGAGAGGGAACATCCCCAATCTGATTTGAACAAAGTCTGCCAGCCGCTGACCAGCTTCTTGTATGCATGTGTGCATAGTGTCTGCTTTCTCTAAGTGTTAATAGGCTTAACTTCAAGCACCACAACCCTTTGCAGCACCTTGTGAAACTCAATGCCAGATTTTTATAACCAGGTGCTTTTCTCTTATCAGTTCTTTCTGCTAGCCTCAAGCCTTAAGAGGCACATGATCCGGACATATCCAAGACCTTGGAGTCTTGCAGTCTAGGACTTGGATGCAGCTCCAGCCTGATCTCTTTCTAATCGTTTCCAACTTCTATTGCTTTTCCTTCCAAATGCCATGAACCAAAATGTTTAAAACACAGGGAAAATCATTGCTGTTTATGTTGGAACAAAGCTGAGTCTATTGATGGACAATATGGTAGAACCTATCAACTGCTAAACAAAAGCAAGGCAACCTTGTTCAATAGTCCAGTAATTAGAGCAGCTGGAAAATTATACTAAAATAATAACGAATTCAGATTAGTAACAGAGCCACAGTGTGTTAGTAGGACATAGGTTAAAGTAGATGGGAATTAAAACATAGTTCAGGACCGGTATATAGGGTGTGTACGTGGGTATTTCCAGAACTGGTTTGTTTCCTATCCAGTGGAGCCACCTCTGCATTATACATCCTGTTGCTTTCCTCCTCCTCTTTTTCCGCAGTCAAGCTGGATCCATATCCAGAGACTGATGCTGTGGGAGAAGACAGGAAATGCTTCCATTTAGGAAACATACCAAACTTACTTAGTGTGCAAGCCTGAGTTTTTCTCTGCTGGCAGTAATTCAAAGAAGGTACCAAGTAGTTGGATGTTCCAACAGGCTCTTCAGTCCTGGATGAGGCAGGAAAGGCATGTCCTTTCAGAACGGCTTAAGGCAAGCTGGAGAATTGCAATTCAATTCATTTCTGACAAAGTTGACATCATCGGCACTCATCCGCACTAGCGACAGAATGGAAGTTAGGTATTTTTCTTTTCCTGCTCGTGGGCTTGTCCATTCAAACTTCAGCTGGATTTTTCCACATTTGCAACACCCTTTAGTCGTCACATCCTCTTGCCAGCCATGCATTTTTGAAAGCCGAGAAGCACTAATTCTAGACACTTTCACTAACAGCATAGATTTGCTTCAGTTTAACGCATTATATTGTGTTCCCTCTAAAACTGAGATTTTCACAGGGGCCCAAGCCTTGAGCACAAGTCCACGAGGAAGATTTCCAAAGGCACAAATGGCCGATGTCCTATATACCAGAGCTGGATAATTAGAGCCACCACCATCAGATGCCCCCCACTCTGGCCCTTTATTCTATAGACCTTATCCCCAGAAAGGGGGAGCTAGGAGAGGGGTTAGAAACTCAAGGGTCCCTCGGGTCATATGTCTAAGGCAGTCCCATTTTTTTAGGCAAAGGCACTCAAGGGAGCAGCAGGGCTAGACTCATGTCTGGCTGCTTTTGACTTCCCAGCCTGAATGACAAGGAGCTCACGTATACGGCCATGTTGACTGAGGACAGTCTTCAGCACAAGTCCAGGGCAGGGCTGAAATTCAGCCTTCTGGAGCTAGAGCGGTGGCTGTGCCATCACACCCTAGCTAGAAAGGGGTGCCCATTGGCAAAATGGAAGTGCTCCTTGGAAACCTGATTTGGTTAAGGAACTCTCATTTTATTACTACCAATTAGTGACCCATGAACATTCACCCTGAAAGTTTCTCTGGGGTGCTTTCAGGCACAGGACAAGTCTTTGGGCAGATCTCAGTTTAAACTTCCCGCTTAGAAACTCTGCCCACCAAGCTTGATTGCAATGCTGCCTACCTTCCTGGTCTCCGGCGTCTTGAAAAACCTGTCCTGGCACCTTCAGCCAGATCCCGAAAACCCCACCTCTAACTGGCAAGCTTCCACTCCCTCTTCTATCAATCCATGCCCAGATGCTGACAGGGAAATAAATATTCAAGGTGGTTTCTGGCAAACAAAATGGGCCTATACAGAGTCCATAGATGTTAGATCACTGGTTCCTGCCCAACCACAGGTTTTACTTCCCACAAACATGCACACAAAACAACATTAACTCCCCACATTTCCTCCTATTGTCTGCAAAAGCCCCCAGGTGCATTGAAAATACCCATACCAGGTCTTAAACTAGGACAAGGTGCCAACTGTAATTTGGTGTTGTAGTGCATTTGGGCAAATGTTTGACTTGCATGTTTTCAGTTCCTTCTTTCCAAGTCAGGTCTTAATATAGTCTTGCGGCCTGGTTCTCCACAGCTTTCCCTGAGAGCAGAGGGGTAGAGTTGCCTAAAGTTCTTGCACTGGTGCCAATAATGTCATACAAAGTGTAAGCCTCTTTTGTAGAGATTCAGAATGGGAAATTTCCTTCACTACAGCTGAGAGCTTTGTCCATTGACTTCCATGAGGCTGTATTTAGCCAATATATTTTTAAATAGGAAGGCACCACTAAAACCATTTAATACCAGGTTTGCCATGACATAAAGGCTGCTAACAGTCTTGTTGGATGCCTAGTCACCTAAATCCCATTTTAATTAGTCACCTAATACGCTAAGGTACTTTTGTAAATTCCCTAAGGCATCAATCTGCATAATTAGGCAAATAAATACCTTGGAAAACTCTGGTCCTCCTCTGAACTCCCAAGAGTCCTACTCATTCATTATGATATCAAGTCCCCTAAGTTGTGATGGACCCTAAGCATTCATTTTCTATCTTTTACAAAAGCATCTCAATCAACATTTAAAAACTTAAACTGATACAGTATCTACTACACTACCTGTAGAGCTGTTCCAATAGTTCATTGCCCTCACTGTTAAAAATTGCATTTTGTTTTTGGCCTGAATGTCTCAAGCTTTTCAGTCATCAGGTCGTGAACTTATTTTCCAGAAGCGACTGTCTATCCAATTTCCAAGTGTTCTTTAATTTTGGGCTTCTAGATGTTCAGCTTTCAATTACTTGGGCCTGATTTTCCCCTGATGTCTAGCATGCCATACTTCTCCTGACTTCAAGTAGAGTTTGGGGTCAGCTCAGCATTGGTAGAAGTCAGGCCCAGTCTGGGCCTTAAAACCAAAGCACCCACCCCAAAGATGAAATCTATTTCTATTAGACCTGTTGCTTTATATACAGTGCACTAAGTAAGTCAGTTGCTTTTTTTATGTACTATCTGTTATCTATGATCTTTCACAGGTCTCCATGTGCCTGGTGAATTGAATCAGCAGAGAGTTGACTCAGGAGAGCTGTATACCCTATTATGGACATGTGAAGCGCTCCCCAGTCATCAACCCAATAGAAGCATCAGCCATCAAACCAACACACACTGCCTGGAAGTTATTTCTTAGTTTTTTCCTTAGATCTCGCTCAAAGTCAGTATACTGACGGATACCAAAACCGGCAAGTTCTAGTGCATAGGTAGAGGCAACATTTTCTTCTAAACATTTGTTCAGTGCACGTGAAGTTTTCCCCTATGCAGGCAGCCAATGTAGGAGCTCATGTTCCTTATACTCGTGTAACTCCATTGACTTCAGTGAAGTTTTGGATTATTGGTAGATTTATTTGAGAGAGATTAGATTCAGGCCCTAGCCAACTATCACAGCCCTGGAGTATGTCCCTCTTGAACCATGGAGAAAACTTTTGTTGCCACTGTCCAAACAGCAGATACACCCCACAGGCTGCTTTCCAGAGGCTCTCATGTGGTATTTAGCTCTCCCTTTCATGATTTTTGGTTTTAGCCCAGGACCCCACATAACCCTGGTGCATTAACAATAGGGAGAACGGCTGTGTTAGTAGGAGAGTAGAAGAGGACCACAGGTCCCATCTCTGTCTGGCCTCATTAAACAATCCCTTCATATTATAGCTAACTCTTCTCCCTCCTGCAGACAGAGACCTCCTTCCCCTTCTTAGATGCTGTGCTTCATTTAAACACCGTCTAAAGAAAGAAGTTACCCACATTTGCTTTTTAAGTTAGCTGTTAACATTTTATTAGCCGAAAAAGAACAACAACTCTGACCACATATTTAAATACAGAATTAAACAGCTTGAGAACTGCAAGAACAAATATTGTCTTTACACCTGACAACAGCAGCTTGTACAATATGTACATACTGAGTGACTGGCAATACAATCATGCCATTTATCATAGAAGAAGAGACACAGTTATCACATACTCTCTTGACTATAAATACTTTTAAATTAGTTTATAAATAGCGCATATTTAAAATAAATAGCCTTTGGAACTTGCACAGCAACTTCAATAAAGGATCTCAAAGTCCTTTGCAAGGACGGATGTTAAAAAAGGGAAAACTATTTTTAATGGCAATATTTTTTACCAGCAGGCCTGCTGGTGTCTGATAAGTTCTAGTTGCCAAAGCCTGTGCCAGAGAACTGAGAACTTCACAAGGTGTTAGGTTGGATGAAGGCTTATCCATGTTTGTGTAACACTGGGACTGATCTCATCTCACTCACACTTGGAATAAAATGCTGGGCCCATTTGAAGCCAACATTCGACTTGCCTGGAACCAGGATTTCACTCCAGTTGTGTAGCCTTGTGACATCCTCTGCTACAACGGGGTTATTCTGGGTTTGCACGGGATTAAGTGAAAGGAGACTAAGCAAGCTGGAAAGCGTGAGCATCGCCTCACTCAGAGAAGTTGTCGCATTCAACTCAATGAGATATTTAGGAATGCAATGGTTTTAAGCATCTGATGAAGCAGGCAGTTGCCTATGAAATCTCATGCCTCTCTGAACAATTTAGTCTTGAAGGTGTCACCCTGCCCTGCATTTTGCATGATTTCAGACCAACACAGCTAACCACCTCTCTAAGCATTCAAAAGAGGTCCAACTGGAAGTAAAAGAGGCTTTTGAGATATTTAAGGGACCTCTCACTAGTAGACAAACGGGAAATGCTGTTGGAAGAGTGGTTCTCATCATATTATGGTGCCACAGGGGCAAATTTTAAAAGTTATCCACAATTTTGTTTTTTAGGAGAAATGTTCAATGGATTCAATTCAAATGCAGGGCTGGGGGAAGATTCTAGCTTTTTTTTTTTTTTTTTTTTTTATACTGTGACGTTCATCTCAGCACCCACGGCTACCAAGTATGCATTGTAATCAAACAGAGACAAGGGATGCTCCTGAATTAATCCAGCTCCAAACTCTGATGCAAGGCCATCATTAACAATAAATGATGGAAGTGCAGCCATGTGAGATTTTAAAAAACAGCCTGTTTCTGCCCTAGTCCCAGGTTTTGTGCTGCAAAGTAGCAAGAGCTTATCACTCTGAGATTAGGCCAGTTTTGGTTACACAGCGCTCTCATTGGAAAGCAACATGGAGCCACTGATGTTCTAGAGATCAGCGTCTCGCAGGATGCCTCCCTGAGCTGTACGGACACCAGGCCTCTGTAAGCAACATGCACAGGGCCAGCTCTTCAGCTGGGGTAAAACACTGCATCTCCCCGAGACTCAGCGGAGCTACACCCATTTACACCTCTTGCTGAGTTTTCCCACAACATTGCAAACAACAAGCAGAACAGAATATATAAACAATGCAAATAAATTAAGACATAAAAAAAAAAAAAATAGGCTTTGCTCTAGTTTCTGTCTTCTCTCTTAGTTCTTAGCCTTTTCCATCCAGTTAAAGAGAATGTCCATCTCACCCAGAGCTTTGATGGCTGCTGTGTCACGATCCAGCTAAAGGAGGAAAATAGAAGTTGTGGTGTTAGTGCCTTCACAAAGGCCATCTTGATTTGGTATTGTTTATGCAATAAATGTCATCTATCAAGACATTTCGAGCTTGGATCATTTTGATTTGAGTTTTCCATTGATTTTCTCTGGCTCTTATAAGCTGTAATCACCATAACCAGTCAGGCTTTGCCAGCTGGTGCCATGCAGCCAATACAGCTGTTTCCTAAATATAATATGAAGGAAGACTGTAGCATTTGTAAATACTGATCTTTAGGAACAATGGGTAAAATGTGCCAGCATGCTTTGGTGAACTAAGAGACAGAGCTCAATTATAGAGTCCACATCCAGACACACAGGCTAAGTACAGTCAAAAAGCCTGAGGCTGAATCAGTTCAGAGCAGACAGCTTGGACCAGGGCTAGCACACCCACCCTGAAAGTGGGGGGTTGCAGGGCAGGTGCAAAGCATCCTGGGATGCTGGGGGACTGCGAGTTAACTTGAATCTGGAGGGGATTTGGGATAAAAGTTCAATAACTAGTTTAGGTTAAATTGGTTTAAGTGTGATACTGCATCCATCTAGGTTTATCTTAACCCGGTTTCAGCCATTTTGAAAGTGGTTTACATGCACTGAACTTCTGTTATGTTACAGATTTGAACTGGTTTCTGATCACTTATACCAGTTTATGGGTCATTTGTCCCCCTAGCCACGGTGCTTTGAAGGTTTTAGGATGAATTCTAGAGCCACTGAAAACAGCCTAGTTGAATAAGCAATGGGCTATGCCATTGTTGTATTCATAGGGAAGTAGGGCTGGAAGGGATGCCCAGAGGTCAGAGTCCTACCCAGTGCCGGCTTAGTCACTTTGGTCAATTATTTTTCCTCCATTTCTCTGCCTACACTTTGTTGGCTTTGCCTAAATAGACTCTTGGGAACATAACTTCTCCGTTTCTGTGCGGCACCTGATGCAAGAGAGTCCTGCTTTAAGAGGGGCCTCCCAGAAACACAAACACACAAGGGAGTGTGCCGTTTTCTCCCCCACCAGCTAGGAGGGGAAACTTTCTGGGTGGTTGATGGCTGGGAGCATCTCCCCCACCAAGTTACCTTTTCGTATTCCTCTCTGAGGAGCTCGAGTCGACGGTTTGCCTCCGCCCCACAGGCGCACTTCTTTTGATCATGCTGGGCAAAGAGAATGCAAAAAACCACAGTTAGAACTAGTGGGCAAAATAAACCAAATATGCTTATTGCTTAGTCTGGAGAGTGGATTTAGGGCAGCCCTGGAGATGGGGGTTCCTTCTCCAGAGCTAAGCAGGACTCATCTGCAGCGCAGACTACTCTGTACTGCCCTGACTTGGGCTTGCAGAAGTAGACAAGTTGCTCAGTGTCTACAGCCCAATCAGTCTTTTGCTCAGAGAGAAGGGGAAACTAGCAGCAGGCATGGTGGTGCTTTTCCCACAAGTACCCACCAGGATCTACCCTTTCATGCTTCATGACCTGGTAGCACTTGGCTGGAGTTTACAGGGCAACTTAGAGGCAAAAGACCCCATTATGCCATCTCCAGTACACAAGAGCTTCAGTCTTATTCATACACACCAGCGAGAGCATTATTCTATTCGGCGTTCCTTCTATAACATACTTCACGCTCTGCTGCCATAGCCACTGAACTCCACCTTGTCATGCTGCCAACATCTCCCTTCCCTAGGGTACTTACACACTGTCTCAGGGTGGTCTTAACGCTGAGGAAAGAGTTCGACAGGCTGCTGGTCTTCCTCCGCAGCAGGGGGTTTGTAGCTTGGTAATGTCTGAAAACGTTTTCAACGTAGAACCTCAGCAGGTGGCGGAGTAAGCAGCAGCTCTCCAATGCCTGAGAGAAGAAGAAAGGACATGAAGCATATAGCACAGCCAAAATAACCTGTGTATACCTGAACTAACTGAGAATATTCAGAAGAGGGCACATTTATACAGTCCGTCTGGAAAATGAAGGCGATTCTGTATAATGCGCATTTCTAACTCCCTAAGTTTTCCCTTCCAAGAAGCCCTGATTTGCTACACAAGTTTTCCATAATTATTTCTATTCTATTCACACCCATATTGAATTGAGAAAGCAATTATCTCATTGGTATGGTCCTGTCAATGAGATTATTGCAATACTCGCTGGATAACAATCCTCCTTGCTGTACCCATGACTGCGATGTGGGACCAGGGGTGCATGTCTGACTGAGAACCACCCACAGAGGCCAGAGGGAGCTAGGAACAAAGCAGGAAACAAGGTAAGAAACAGATCTAAGTGCAGTTTAAAACAGATGCTTTCATCTGCTCTTAACGCACTATTCTTCATCCAAGAGCCCTCCAAAGGGAACCGTTCCTAAGGCTGAACTGCCATTTTTACGAGACCTTTAGACAGCATGAAATACATGGTCTTAGAAAGAGGGACATAAGATGCAGATGGAATTGCAGGAGACAGAACTGCTCTCAGCCCTGGAGCTGGGGCAGGATATGCTGGAAGAAGAGGGAAAGTGGGTAGGGAAGCCTTATAGATGCAGAAGCTGTGGGAAGTAGAAGTTAGGGAGGGGAGGAGATTCCACATACAAAAAGTGAAAGACATAATGAAGGGAATAAAGGCAGTGACAGGTCCATGACAGTCTCCATAGGCGAAGCAACAAGGTGGGCAAAGGTCTAAGTTAAGTTCAAAGAGAAAACAGAGTGCTTGTAGATGAAGCAAAATTCAAATCAAGGGGAGGGAAGGCTGAAAAAGCAGATCCCATGGAGCTTCCCCCATTGGAGCACCACACTTTCTAGCCAAATCACAGCGCTTACCGGGACGTTATGCAGAAGGATCTTCTTCAGCAATACAGTGTCAGTAACATGGTCCTGATCTTGCTGCAATCACAGAAGAAAGATAAATGATTTGAATGAGGATACAGGATGCAAAGGCAGAATAAGAAAGAATACCTATTCTACTATAGGTAGCTTAGATTTATAGTCAGGCATCTGAGATTATGGTTTGGGCAACTGTTCCTTTTTTATATTGCCCCCACATGGCATCGAAAGGAGTTATACA